AGTACAGGGGCCGGAATCTCAGCGTCACTGCAAGCTTCTCCTCCCGGAGGTTCACGCCATTCTCCATGCCTCAGCCTCCCGAGTAGCTGGGACTACAGGCGCCTGCCACCTCGCCCGACTAGTTTTTTGTACGTTTATCGTAGAGATGGGTGTTTCACCGTGTTAAGCCAGGATGTGCTTCGATCTCCTGACCTCGGTGATCCGCCCATCTCGGCCTCCCCAAAGTGCTGGATTACAGGCTTGAGCTGAACAACTGATAAGAATGAAAAAAAGAGAATCCATTTGATCTTGATGCTTGGAACATTCTTATTAGGCTGGCACAGGGTTAATGGCATAGAATTATATTTTTGTCACCATAGATTCATTTACTGTAACTGATTCTTGAGTAATAATGAAAATAATGTAATGTTTTCAGTTATATGTTTTAGAAACAATCCATACATACAGCCTGCAAAAGTTAATTATGGTAACAGAAGAGAATATAAATACTAGACGCTTCGCAGTATAAAGGGAGTGGTATGGCTGTCATCAACTGGCAGAAGAGATGAAGGGAAGTAATAGAGAACTAATTATCTTATCTTTATATAATGAAGGAGTCAAGAGATGAAACTGATGGAATACAATCTAGAATCTTAAACATATTATTTTAAATTATAAAGCTGACCAACAGAGGCTCAAAAACTGGGGAGAAGATAGAAGAGGGATTGTATAAGTGAACTAACACCTAATTTTTCATAGTAATTAATGAATGCTGTCTAAACTCGATAAATTGAGTGTTACTGTACGCATAGATTGGAGGAAGCCACTTTAAAAACTAAAACAAAAATGATTAAAAGTGGTTGCCTTCACGTGGTTAACTGAATGTGGAGGTAAGAATGAAACAGGGACCAGGTGTGGTGACATTTTTTTGGGGGGGGGACGGAGTCTCACTCTTTGCCAGGCTGGAGTGCAGTGGCACAATCTCGGCTCACTGCAACCCCCGCCTCCCGGGTTCAAGTGATTCTCCTGCCTCAGCCTCTTAAGTAGCTGGGACTACAGGCACCCACCACCACGCCCAGCTAATTTTTGTATTTCTGGTAGAGACAGGGTTTCACTGTGTTGGCCAGGATGGTCTTGATCTCTTGACCTCGTGATCCACCCGCCTCGGCCTCCCAAAGTCCTGGGATTACAGGCATGAGCCACCGCACCCAGCAGAGACAGCTACTCTTAAAACACTTCAGGCCCGGCGCTGTGGTTCACCCTTGTAATCCCAGCACTTTGGGAAGCCAAGGTGGGCAGATTGTGAGGTCAGGAGATTAAGACCATCCTGGCCAACATGGTGAAACCCCGTCTCTACTAAAAATACAAAGATTAGCCAGGCGTGGCAGCATGCACCTGTAGTCCCAGTTACTCAGGAGGCTGAGGCAGGAGAATTGCTTGAACCCAGAAGGCAGAGGTTGCAGTCAGCCAAGATTGCATCATTGCACTCCAGCCTGGGTGACAGAGTGAGACTACATCTCAAAAAAACAAACACTTCATTGTATACCCTTCAAAAATAGCTTTTCTGAAGTATTCAGACCCCACTGTAAAAGTTGTGAGGTAGGGATATCTTAGGTTAAAGATATACAGAACACTTCATAAATGTGCGCTAGGTGTGCTCCTATTTGGACAATCATGGCATCCTGACAGTAAGTCATGACTAAAGGCCCCTCATAAATAATATTTAGTCACCCGGACCACATTACATTGCTCAAATATTCTCATGCAACAATGTCTACCCTTGAGTAAGGATTAACAATGTTGACCAAAGTATTAACAATAGATTGCAGGGTAAAAATACCTTTCTGAGTTAATTTCTGAGAAATCTTGCTACCTGAGAAACAGGAGCATCAAGTGACTGTGACCCCTTACACGATCCAGTTCCATGACCTACCCACAAAGGTGAACAGGTCTTACCTAGAGAGACGAGAGTCTCATAATTGCTTCTCATCACATGCTTGTAAAGCTCCTTCTGCCATGCCTCTAGATCCTGCCATTCTTGCTCCGAGAAATAAATGGCAACATCCTCAAAAGTCAGAGGTAGCTGAAATTGTAGACATAAGACACATGCATTCATGATTGCTTCAAAATAACTCCAGCTCCTTCTCCTTGTTAATTTAAAAGACTTTTGCAGTGGACACATGTTTCTGGTTGTTCAGCAACTTCTTCCTGGAGAACTACTCCTTCCCCTACTCCAATTACATCGTTCTGCTGTTAACCACTACATCCCCCGCTCCACATTTCATTATGCTTGTTCAAAGTATATATACATATGTAGAGTATGGAATTATTTTCTTTACAAAATGGGAACAAATCACTTTGTAACTTCATTCACTTAATATGTCACAGAGCTCTTTCCAGGTCAATAATATATATTGAGGCGAACTCATTTTTTTGGTAAACTCGCACTTATATTCCATGAGTAGATACACCCCACTGATGGGACATATATTGTTTCCATTTCCCTTATAAATTACAGTATTCAGCTGGGCACGGTGGGTCATGCCTGTAATCCCAGCACTTTGGGAGGCCGAGGCAGGCAGATCACGAGGTCAGGAGTTCGAGATCAGCCTGACCAACATGGTGAAACACCGTCTCTAAGAATACAAAAATTAGCCAGGTGTGGTGGCGTGCGCCTGTAATCCCACCTACTCGGGAGGCTGAGGCAGGAGAATTGCTTGAACCTGGGAGGCAGAGGTTGCCGTGAGCAGAGATCGCGCCACTGCACTCCAGCCTGGGTGACAGAGCGAGACTCAGTCTCAAAAAAAAAAAAAAAAAAAAATTACAGTATTCTCATATGCTTCCTATGTATTAGTGCTTTTACTTCTGCAGGATAAAATCTAAAAAGGAGAACTATTAAATCAAAGAGGATACACATCTTCAGTTTTAATAGATAACATCAGATTGCCTTGCAAAAAGAATCCAGCACATTTACCCTTGCTATTAACATGAGACTTCTTGTTTCTTTACACCTTTGCCAGCACAAGATGTTCTCAAACCTTATTTTTTGCCAATGTGGGGTGGCAAATTGTATTTCAGTATTTTAATTTACATTAATTTGTAAGGCTGGAAGTCCTAGCCAGAGCAGTCAGGCAAGAGAAAGAAATCAAGGGCATCCAAATTGGAAAACTATCTCTGTTTGCCAATGATATGATCCTCTACCTAGAAAACCCTAGACTCATCCAAAAGACCCCTAGATTTGACAAATGAATTCAGCAAAGTCTCAGGTAACAAAATTAACGTATATAAATCAGTAGCACTGCTATACACCAACAGCGACCAAGCTGAGAAATCAAGAACTCAGTACCTTTTACAATGGCTGAAAAAAACAATAAAATGCCTAGGCATACACTTGATATGGTTTGGCTGTGTCCCCACCCAAATCTCCTGTTGAATTGTAATCCCCAGGGTTGGAGGAGGGGCCTGGTGGGAGGTGACCTTATCATGGGGGCGGACTTCCCTTGCTGTTCTCATGATAGTGAGTTTTCACCAGATCTGGTTGTTTAAAAGTGTGTAGCACTTCCCCCTTCGCTGCCTCTCTCCTGCTCCAGCCATGAGAAGACCGTATGATTGTAAGTCTTCTGAGGCCTCCCCAGAAGCAGAAGACTAAGAGTTACCAGCAATTGGTTTTGAATTTTATTGCTTTTCTAAAAACTGCATTAGAAAAAATGCAATGTATGCAAATGTTTAGTATTATTTAATATTTGTGTTTATTATGGTTGACGGGATAAATGGATACTTCCTGAGGCTCACAACTAGGAGTACGTAAATTATATATTTGTTAGTTTAAAACACTCTAATTACATAAGCATACATTCCACCTTTTATTGAACTACCATTGTTATTGCCATATATCCTTATTTTCTATGGGTATTAAAGTTTATCTTGTTTCAACTTTATTATTTTTTTTTATTTTTTGAGACGGCATCTCTCTCTGTTGCCAGGCTGGAGTGCAGTGGCGTGATCTTAGCTCACTGCATCCTCCACGTCCCAGATTCAAGCAATTCTCCTGCCTCAGCTTCATGCATAGCTGGGACTACATGTGTGCACCACCACACCTGGCTAATTGTTTTGCATTTTTAGTAGAGACGGGGTTTCACCATGTTGGTCAGGCTGGTCTCCAACTCCTGACCTCAAGTGATCCACCGACCCTGGCCTCCCAAAGTGCTGGGATTACAGGCATGAGCCACCGTGCTCAGCCTATTCATCTTTTATTTTTATTTATTTTGAGATGGACTCTCACTGTGTTGCCTAGGCTGGAGTGCAGTGGTACGATCTCGGCTCACTGCAACCTCCACCACCCTGGTTCAAGCGATTCCCCTGCCTCAGCCTCCCGAGTAGCTGCGATTACAGGCACATGCCACCACACCGGGCTAATTTTTTTGTATTTTTAGTAGAGACGGGGTTTCACCATGTTGGCCAGGCTGGTCTTGAGCTCCTACCTCAGGCAATCTGCCCACCTCAGACTACCAAAGCACTGGGATTACAGGCGTCAGCCACCACGCCCAGCCAGTCTAGTCATATTTTTTTTTTTTTTTTTGAGACGGAGTTTTGCTGTTTTGCCCAGGCTGGAGTGAAGTGGCACGATCTCAGCTCACTGCAACCTCTGCTCCCCGGGGTTCACGTGGCTCTCCTGCCTCAGCCTCCTGAGTAGCTGGGATTATAGGCGCCAGCCACCAAGCCCAGCTAATTTTTTTATCTTTAGTAGAGATGGGGTTTCGCCACATTAGCCAGGCTGGTCTCGAAATTCTGACTTCAGGTGATCCACCCACCTTGGCCTCCCAGTGCTAGGATTTACAGGCATGATCCACTGCACCTGGCCAAAGTTTTTTTTTGTTTTTTTTGTTTTTTTAAATTTTAGTTTCAGGCCTATATGTGCAGGTTTGCTATATAGGTAAATTGCGTGTTGTGAGGGTTTGGTGTGCAGACTGTTTCATCACTCAGGTAATTAGCATAATACCCGGTAAGTAATCTTTCAGTCCTCATTCTCCTCCCACCCTCCACCTTCAAGTAGGCCCCAGTGTCTGTTATTCCCTGCTTTGTATCCATATATACTCAGTGTTCAGCTCACCCTTATAAGCGAGAACGGCACTTTGTTTTCTACTCCTGTGTTATCTCACTTAAGATAATGGCCTCCAGCTCCATCTATCTTTCTGCAAAAGATATGATTTTCTCTTATGGCTGCATAGTATTCCATGGTGCATATGTACATTTTCTTTATCCAGTCTGCCATTGATGGGCATTTAGGCTGATTCCACATCTTTGCTATTGTGAATAGTGCTGCAACGAACATATGCAAACATGTGTCTTTATGCAAAACAATTTATATTCCTTTGGGTATATATTCAATAATGGGATTGCAGGGTCAAATGGTAATTTTGGCTGGGCGCGGTGGCTCACGCCTGTAATACCAGCACTTTGGGAAGCCGTGGTGGGCAGATCACCTGAGGTCAGGAGTTCAAGACCAGCCTGGCCAACATGGAGAAACCCTGTCTCTACTAAAAGTACAAAAAATTAGCTGGGTGTGGTGGCACGTGCTTGTAATTCCAGCTACTCAGGAGGCTAAAGCAGGAGAATCGCTTGAACCCGGGAGGCAGAGGTTGCAGTGAGCCGAGATGGCACCAGCCTGGGCAACAGAGCAAAAGTCCATCTCAAAAAAAAACAAAAAAAGGTAATTCTGCTTTCAGTTCTTTGAGAAATCACCAAACTGCTTTCCACAATGGCTGGACTAATTTACGTTACCATCAGCAGTGTATAAGTGTTCTCTTTTCTCTGTAACTTTATTTTTTTTACTTTTTAATAGCTACTCTGATACAGTTTTTTTTTTTTTTGGTTGTTTGTTTTTTGAGACGGAGTCTTGCTCTGTTGCCCAGGCTGGAGTGCAGTGGCACGATCTCGGCTCACTGCAACCTCCGCCTCCCGGGTTCACGCCATTCTCCTATCTCAGCCTCCCAAGTAGCTGGGACTACAGGCGCCACCACCACGCCCAGCTAATTTTTTGTATTTTTAGTAGAGACAGGGTTTCACTGTGTTAGCCAGGATGGTCTCGATCTCCTGACCTCGTGATCCACCCGCCTCGGCCTCCCAGAGTGCTGGGATTACAGGTATGAGCCAACGTGCCCGACCCTGATACAGTTTTGATTTGCATTTCTCAAATGATTAGTGATGCTGAGCATTTTTTCATGAGCTTGTTGGCCATGTGTATGTCTTCTTTTGAGAAGTGTCTGTTCATGTCCTTTGCCCATTTTTTAATGCAGTTGTTTTTTGCTTGTAAATTTAAGTTCCCCGTAGATTCTGGATATTAGACCTTTATCAGTTGCATAGTTTGCAAATATCCCATTCTGTAGAGTGTCTGTTTACTCTGCTGATAGCTTCTTTTGCTGTGTAGAAGCTCTTTAGTTTAATTAGGTCCCATTTGTCAATTTTTGTTTTTGTTGCAGTTGCTTTTGGAGTCTTCATCACAAAATCTTTGCCAGGGCCTATGTCCAGAATGCTATTTCCTAGGTTATCTTTCAGGGTTTTTATAGTTTTAGGTTTTACATTTAAGTCTTTAATCCACGTTGAGTTGAGTGTAAGGTGTAAGGAAGGGGTGCAGTGTCAGTCTTCTGCATATGGCTAGCCAGTTATCCCAGCACCATTTATTACATAGCGAGTCTTTTTCCCACTGCTTGTTTTTGTTGACTTTGTAGAAGATGAGACGATCGTAGGTGTGAGATGATCGTAGGTGTGTGGCATTATTTCTGGGCTCTCTATTCTGTTCCATTGGTCTATATGTCTGTTTTCTTACCAGTACCATGCTGTTTTGGTTACTGTAGCCTTGTATAGTTTGAAGTCAGGTAGTGTGGTGATGTCTCCAGCTGTGTTCATTTTGCCTAGGACTCCCTTGGCTGTTTGGGCTCTTTTTTGGTTACATATGAATTTTTAAATAGTTTTTTCAGCCAGACACTGGCTCATACCTGTAATCCCAATAATTGGGGAGGCCAAGGTGAATGAATTGCTTGAGCCCAGGAATTTGAGAACAGTCTGGGCCACATAGCTAAACCCCGTCTCTACCAAAACAATAACAAAATCCACAAAAACTAGCAGGGCATGGCACACGCCTGTAGTCCTAGCTACCTGAGAGGCTGAGGTGGGAGAACTGCTTGAGTCCGGGGTTTCTATATTGGCCAGGCTGGTCTCGAACTCCTGACCTCATGATTTGCCCGTCTTGGCCTCCCGAAGCGGGATTACAGGTGTGAGCCACCACTCCCAGCAACGTAGTTTTTTTTCTAATTGTCATTAGTAGTTAGATAGGAATAGCAATGAATCTGGAAACTGCTTTGGGTAGTATGGTCATTTTAACAATATTGATTCTTCCTATCTATGAGCATTAAATGTTTTTCCCTTTGTGTTATCTCGGATCTCTTTGAGTAGTATTTTGTAATTCTTGTTGTAAAGATCTTTCACCTCCTTGGTTAGCTGTATTCCTAGGCATTTTTGACTAGATGTGAATGGGACTGTATTCTTGATTTGGCTTTTAGCTTGGATGTTGTTGGTGTATAGGAATGCTACTGATTTTTGTACGCAGATTTTTGTATTCTCAGACTCTGCTGAAGTTGTTTATCAGATCAAGGAGCATTTGGGCACGCTATGGGGTTTTCTACATATAGAATCATACAGTCTGCAAACAGGGATAGCTTGACTTCTTCTATTTCTATTTTGGTGACTTTTATTTCTTTCTCTTGCTGGACTGCTCTGGGTAGGACCTCCCATCTTTTTGTTATATTCATTATGAAATTTAGAGTTGAGTTTTAAAAATTCTAATGACTCCTTTAAATTTGTCTTAGTCTGTTTAGTATTGCTGTAAAGGAACACCAAGGTAGGGTAATTTTTTTTTTTTTCTTTTTGAGACAGAGTCTCACTCTGTTGCCCAGGCTGGAGTGCAGTGGCGCAATCTCGGTTCACTGCAAACTCCACCTCCCAGATTCACACCATTCTCCTGCCTCAGCCTCCAGAGTAGCTGGGACTACAGGCGCCCACCACCATGCCCGGCTAATTTTTTGTATTTTTAGTGGAGATGGGGTTTCACCTTGTTAGCCAGGATGGTCTTCATCTGCTGACCTCGTGATCCACCTGCCTCAGCCTCCCAAAGTGCTGGGATTACAGGTGTGAGCCACCGCGCCCGGCCAGGTGGGGTAATTTTTAAAGACAAGAGGTTTATTTGGTTCACAGTTCTGCAGGCTGTATAAGAAGCACAGCACCAGCATCTGCTTCTGGTGAAGGCCTCAGACAGCTTATGTTCATGGTGGAAGGTGAAGGGGGCTGGGCACCGTGGTTCACACCTGTAATCTCAGCACTTTGGGAGGCCAAGGTAGGGCAGACTACCTGAGGTCAGAAGTTCAAGACCAGCTTTGCCAATATGGTTAAACCCTGTCTCTACCAAAAATACAAAAATTAGCTGGGCGTGGTGGCAGGGGCCTGTAATCCCGGCTACTTGGGAGGCTGAGGCAGGAGAATTGCTTGAACCCAGGAGGCAGAGGTTGCAGTGAGCCGACATCATACCATTGCACTCCAGCGTGGGTGACAGACCCAGACTCCATCTCACAAAAAAAAAAGGTGAGCTGGCATGTGCAGAGATCACATGGCAAGGGCAAGAAGAAGCAAGACAGAAAGGGGGTTGTGTCGGGCTCTTTTTTAACCAGCTCCCTCAGGAACTAATAGAGGACAGCACCAAGACAATTCATGAGGGATCCACCCCCCATGACCTAAACACCTCCCATTAGAGCCCACTTCCAACACTGCAGATCCAATTTTTTTTTTTTTTTTTTTTTTTGAGATGCAGTCTTGCTCCATCACCCAGGCTGAAGTACAGTGGCGCAATCTCAGCTCACCGCAACCTCCACCTCCCAGGTCCAAGCAATTCTGTCTTGGCCTCCCGAGTAGATGGCGCCTGCTACCATGCTCGGCTAATTTTTGTATTTTTAGTAGAGACGGGGTTTCACCTTGTTGATCAGGCTGATTTTGAACTCCTGACCTCAGGTGATCCACCTGTCTCAGCCTCCCAAAGTGCTGGGATTACAGGCGTGAGCCACTGTGCCCAGCTGCAAGTCCAATTTTGACATGAGGTTTAGGGACAAATATCCAAACTGCAGATGTAGCAACATTTAAATCAGAAATTCATTATTTTAAGTTTAAGGAAATATAATCATTTCTGCTATAATGCTTGTTTTGAAACGTGAATTTATTCCAACATGATTGATATATTAGGAGATAATATATTACAAAATATTTGTAATATATATTTGCACATAAGCATTGCTTATTCTGTCTATAAGAAACACTAGATTAGTGGTTCTCAATCAGAACAATTTTGTCCCCTGGAGACATTTTTTATTGTTATAATATGGGGAAGCGGGGCGGCCTACTGGCATCTAGTGCGCAGCAGCCAAGAATAGTGATAAACAACCTACGATGTGCAGGACAGCCCGCAAAACAGAAAATTATCCAGCACAGGATGTTAGTAGAGGCAAGGGTGAGAAACTGTACTATGTGAACAAATAGAACTAAGCTGCATAGACATACACAAAATGCACACGTGCAACACACTTCAAACATCAGATTACCCTGTGTTATAACCCCTACCTATTCACCTCTGGGGTCACAACTTTCCATCTCATTTCAGATAACCTTCCTTTCACCACTTCACAATAGCTCACAAACTGCAATCCTTGCTATGTCTACTTCCACTAGCACATTTCAGGTAATTCTTTTAGGGTTTTTTTTTTTTTTTTCTGAAACAGGGTCTCACTCTGTTGCCCAGGCCAGAGTGCAGTGGTGCCAACACAGCTTACCATAGCTTTGATCTCCTGGGTTCAAGTGATTCTCTTGCCTTAGCCTCCCGAGTAGCTGGGACCACGGGGATATGCCACCACACCTGGCTAATTTTTTTTAGAGAGGGGTCTCACCATGTCGCCCAGGCTTTTTTTTTTGTCTTTCTTGCTTTTGCGACCGAGTCTCACTCTGTCACCCAGACTGGAGTGCAGTGGCGCCATCTCTGCTCACTGCAAGCTCTGCCTCCCGGGTTCAAGCAATTCTCTCACCTCAGCCTCCTGAGGAGCTGGGATTACAGGCGCTTGCCACCACACTCAGCTAATTTTTGTATTTTTTAGTAAAGATGGGTTTTCGCCGTATTGGCCAGGCTGGTCTTGAACTCCTGACCTCAAGTGATCTGCCCACCTTGGCCTCTCAAAGTGCTGGGATTACAGGCGTGAGCCACCGTGCCTGGCCTGAATGTCACAAGTTTTAAAATCCATTCTTTTATTCATTAATCATTTTCTTTTCAGGTCTGTGATTTGGCTATTTATATCCTTTCCCCAAATATATAGATAGGTATGTATTTTTGGAGACAGAGTTTCGCTCTTGCTGCCCAGGCTGGAGTGCAATGGCACAATCTCGGCTCACTGCAACCTCCGTCTCCCGGGTTCAAACAATTCTCCTGCCTGAGCCTCCCGAGTAGCTGGGGTTACAGGCACCCGCCATCATGCCCAGCTAGTTTTTTTTATTTTTAGTAGAGATGGGCTTTCACCATGTTGGCCAGGCTGGTCTCGAACTCCTGATCTTAGGTGATCCACCTGCTTCGGCCTCCCAAAGTGGTGGGATTACAGGCGTGAGCCACAGCGCCCGGTCTAATTCATTTAATAATCAGCAAAAATCCTCAACAGAAAAGTTTACAAGATAAAATACCCTCTAAACCTCGATTTTAAAAAACCACTAACTTCATCTTTTGTATCCTCTACTCCTCCCAACGTATCATCTTATACTCAACACAAACCACGCTAGAATATAAATTCTGACACTGAAGCCCCCGCCAAACACCATTTCAACCATTCGGAATCTTAAATCTTTTGGAACAGTTGTTCTGATTTCTGTGACTATGGTGTGAAACTGGTTGACCTGTAACATCCACCTCTGGCCCCAAACCTTTCTATCCTTTCCGCCGTCCGCTCCCCGCCCAGGCTCCGCCCCGCTCCTAGGTCGATCTCGGTCCACGCCTGGCTTTGTCCAGGTGTTTAGCTACGGACAAGCCGCAGGAGCAGAGGCCATCGGCTCACCGGAGGGCCCTGAATCTACACCCCCAGCCGAAGCGGCCTGCAGACTCCGTCCAACCCGTGCACCGCGGGCACCCACGGCGACCCTAGGACGCGGGGTAGCCCGGAACCCAAGGACCCACCACGACCCCAAAACCGGGCGTCCATGCAGGCCAGCCTGCTTACCCGAGGCGGCTCCGCCATGGCCCCTGCCGTCCCGCCCCGCCCTGGCAACGCCGACCGTCTCCTACGGCTCCGCGGGAACCGGCCCTGCAGCGCACGGACTCCCCTCCGCTCCGCCCCAACCCGACTCCCACGCATAACTCGGGTGGCAGCCAAACGCAGCGCCGGTGGGGCGCAGTGCATGCTGGGATCCGGCGCCCGGCCGCGGCTGACGCTCCGCCCCACAGCGCCCCCTGCGGGCGTGAGCAGCGGCGCCGCCGGAGGGTCGGTCCTCAGAGGAGGGACCCAGGGGCCTGGGCGCCCTCAGTGCAGGCCGCAGCACGCCGGTCTTTGAGGGATCCTGGGACTCCCGGGATCTGGGGAGGGAGGCGGTCAGAGACAAGCTGAGGAGCTGACCGGAGTGGAAACGGAGGGACAGGTGGACATGGAGAGATCAGGCACAGGGACAGGGAGACGCGCTCCACAGAAACCCAAACTGAGAGGCAACGAGAGGGGAGTGTCCGGTGCGGTTCCTCCCAAAGCCGCCCCCGAGTCAGGCTTTGTCTGTGAGGGGGTCCCGGGAATCCAGCGAGGCCGGAAAGTGGGTGGGGGACGCGCGGTGGCCCGGGGCGTCCATCCCGTCGGGGACGCGGAGGCCGTCGGGGCCCCGTGCTTGTCCCGTGGGGGACGCAGAGGGAGGCCCGCCCACCAGGTCCGGTCCCCGTGGGTCTACAGCCCTTCTGGGCTCCCCGGACGGCCACGCTACTTCCTTGGCAGAGAACGGCCTTGGGCAGAGACCCCGTGCGGAAGCCACCCCGGCCTCAGGGCGGCCTGCAGGGACTCAGGGTGGTCCAAGGATGCGGCCGGGCACGCGAGGCCGGGCGGGAGACAGAGACAGAGCGGGAGAAGACGAAGGAGGCCACGACACAGGGCGTGAGAAACACGAGAACGTAAGAGCAGTGGAGGGATGTGAAGACGTAGAAGGGGAAACCAGGGAGAGACAGAAAAGAGAGAGCGCGAGGAAGAGAGTGGCGACTGTCCCCAGAAAATAAGCCTCGCATTCTCTCCTAGTCATGTCTTAGGTGTCAGGCTAAAGTAGCAAAGGAAAAGTATGCAGTTGGGAGAGGATGTCCATGAGAAATAAAATAGTCCCTGCATAGGCTGAGGAGCATGTGCATATCTGTATTTGTCCCGGAATTAATTGTGAAATGTACATGTACCTTACTATTTAATGTTTTTTATTTTTCCAAATGTTATACAGTACAATTTTTTTTTTTTCTTTTTGAGACAGAGTCTCGCTCTGTCACCCAGGCTGGAGTGTCGAGGCGCAATCTTGGCTCACTGCAACCTCCACCTCCCGGATTCAAGCAATTCTCCTGCCTCAGCCTCCGGAGTAGCTGGAATTACAGGTGCACGCCACCACGCCCGGCTAATTTTTGTATTTTTAGTAGAGACGGGGTTTCACCATGTTGAACAGGCTGGTCTCAAACTCCTGACCATGTGATCCACCTGCCTCGGCCTCCCAAAGTTCTGGGATTACAGGCATGAGCCACCGCGCCAGGCCTTTTCTTTCTTTCTTTCTTTCTTTCTTTTTTTCTTTTTTTTTTTTTTTTGAGACGGAGTCTTGCTCTGTCACCAGGCTGGAGTGCAGTGGCAGGATGTTGGCTCACTGCAACCTCCTCCTCCCGGGTTCCAGCGATTCTCCTGCCTCAGCCTCGCGAGTAGCTGGGACTACAGGTGCTCGCCACCATGCCCAGCTAATTTTTTGTATTTTAGTAGAGACAGGGTTTCACCGTGTTGGTCAGGCTGGTCTCAAAATCCCAGCCTCCGGTGATCCGCCCGCCTCGGCCTCCCAAAGTGTATACAGTACAATTTTTTAAATGCATACTGCTATGATTTTTGTTTTGTTTTGTTTTGTTTTTTTGAGACGAAGTCTCGCTCTTGTTGCCCAGGCTGGAGTGCAATGGCGCGATCCTGGCTCACTGCAACCTGTGTCTCCTGGGTTCAAGCAATCCTCCTGCTTCAACCTCCCGAGTAGCTGAGATTACAGGCGCTGGCTACCACGCCTGGCTAATTTTTTGTATTTTTAGTAGAGACGGGGTTTAACCGTGGTAGCCAGGATGGTTTTGATATCCTGACCTGGTGATCCGCCCGCCTCGGCCTCCCAAAGTGCTGGGATTACAGGCATGAACCACCGCGCCCAGCTATGAACTTTTAACTATTAACTCTTTTTTAATAAATTTAAGTTATATAGAAGTATAGCTTCTATACTACTACATAGAACTCCAAATTTTAGCATATGTATAAACATGTAATGGACATCATAATCAGGCTGTTGTAGAACCCCAAAATCAGGCTTGTGTACCTCATGGGCAGATGAGGCCAAACACTGAGACACCGGTGCTTGGAGATGGAGAAAGGTTTAACAGATTTGGAGAAAGGTTTAACAGATTTGGCCAAAGAGAGAAGGCAGCAGAGCAAATCTCTAAAATCTGTCTTAACAAAAAGAAGCATGGAGTTTTTATGGGGCTAGAGAGTAAGGGAGGGGGAGTTTCAGGGAACCAAGGGGGAAAGTCTGTGTTTCTTCAGTCTCTGATAACACCTTGAGCAATCAGGCTTCTGGGCATCAGGGGCTGGACTCAACGACCCTGAAGGCATTAATTCCCCCTGCAACAGTTTTTCATGACCCTGAAGTTATCTCCTCCTCATTGACAATGAAACAGTACATCAGCAGTATGTAATTACAGTGTGAGAACAAGGAATACTGGGCAAAAAGCAAGTGGTTAAAACATGCAAACAGGTAAAGGCCTGATCAGAATTTTCGTTTATTCAGTCCTTAAGAACTGCAAGATGCTGAACTCTCAAGGGGCCCAGTTACAAGGCTATTGGAAGTTTCATTACCCTCTAAAATGCCCTTGGAATAGCCTTTTTTTTTTTTCTTTTTTAAAAAATTGTTGGTCGGGTGCGGTGGCTCACGCCTGTAATCTCAGCACTTTGGGAGGCTGAGGCAGGCAGCATCAGCCTGAATCAGGAGTTCAGACCAGCTGGCCAACCTCATGGTGCAACCCTTAGTCTCATACTAAAACATACAAAAATTAGCCGGCATGAATGGGCACAGTTAACTCTAATCCACTCCAAGAGAGGTCTGAGGCAGAAGAATCGGCTTGAATCCTGAGGTGGAGATTGCAGTGGAGCGCGAGATGACCACCCCTTGCACTCCACGCCTGGACACAGAGGCAAGACTACCATCTCAAAAAAAAAAAAAAAAAAAAAAACAGCCGGGGCATAAATGCAGGGGATGCCTATAATCCACCCTATCAGAAGGGCTGAGGGCAGCAAACACTTAAACCTGGGAATAAGGAGGTTGCACTGAGACACGATTCCCCATTGGCACTCCAGCCTGTGTGACAGAGCCAAGACCTCTGCCTCAAAAAAAAAAAAAAAAGGTATAGGAGACAGGGGTTTGCTATGTTTGCCCAGGCTGGTCTAAAAATCCCTGGCCTCAAGCGATCCTCTAACGCCTGGACTTCTCAAAGTGCTGGCAATTACAGGTGACCAGCCAGCCGTGCCCAGGCCAGCTTGTAATATCTTTTGATTCCACCTCCCTTCCTAAGATCTGTAACCCTTAGCAAGGGGCTCATTTTTTCTGGTCTCCCTCCCTCCTCCCTCCTCACCTCCCTTACCTTCCTCTCCTTCCCTCCCTCCCTCCTTCCCTCACCCTCCCTCCCCCTTTCAGACGGAGTCTCACTCTGGTCGCCCAGGGGTGGAGTGGCAGTTGGCGCACTAATCTCGCCTCACTGCAAGCTCCGCCTCCCGGGTTCACGCCATTCTCCTGCCTCAGCCTCCTGAGTAGCTGGGACTACAGGTGCCCACCACAATGCCCGGCTAATTTGGTATTTTGTTTTTGTATTTTTAGCAGAGACGGGGTTTCACCGTGTTAGCCAGGATGGTCTCAATCTCCTGACCTCGTGATCCACCGCCGAGGCCTCCCAAAGTGCTGGGATTACAGGCGTGAGCCACCGTGCCCGGTCAGTTTTACCTTTAAAGAATGTCACATAAATGGAATTATACAGTATGTAACCTTTTGAGACTTATAAAAGTTTACAACATACTTCAACTCGGTATACCTTTGAGAGCCATCTACACTGTTATCTGTATCAATGTTATTGAGGAACACCGGCTGTAGTGGCTCTCACCTGTAGGTCCCCTCAAGGGATCTTGAGGTGGGGATGATCCCTTAAGCCCAGGAGTTCAAGGCTAGCCTGGGCAATATAGTGAGACCCCTGTCTCTAAAAAGAAAAATAAATGCAGGCCAGGCACTGTGGCTCACGCCTGTAATCCTAGCACTTTGGGAGGCCAAGGTGGGCACATCACTTGAGGTCAGGAGTTTCAGACCAGCCTGGCCAACATGGCAAAAACTTGTCTCTACTAAAAATACAAAAATTAGCTGGGTGTGGTAACAACTGCCTATAGTCCCAGCTGCTCATGAGACTGAGGTAGGAGAATTGCTTGAACCCGGGAAGCAGAGATTGTAGTGAGTGGAGATCACACCACTGCACTCTAGATGAAGCAAGACTTTGTTTCAAAAGAAAAGAAAAAAATGCATTAGTACTATGGATGTATTACAGTTTGTATAGCCACCATCCATCAGAGGACATTTGGGTTGTTCCAATTTTTTTTTTTTTTTTTTTTTGAGAACAAGAGTCTCACCTGTCACCCCAGGCTGGAGTGCAGTGGCAACATCTCGGCTCACTGCAAGCTCTGCCTCCCGGGTTCATGCCATTCTCCTGCCTCAGCCTCGTCCGGGCGGACTACAGGTGCCCGCCAACGAGCCCGGCTAAATTTTGTTTTGTATTTTTAGTAGAAGACAGGGTTTCACCGTTTAGCCAGGATGGTCTCGATCTCCTGACCTTGGGTCTACCTGCCTCAGCCTCCCAAAGTGCTGGGATTATAGGCGTGAGCCACCGCGCCAGCCTAAGGGTTGTTCCAAATTTTAGCATAATGAAGGGAGCTGCTGCAAACATTCATGTACATGTTTTTTGTGTGAACAGAGGTTTTCATTTGTCTAGGATAAATACCCAAGAGTGGGATTGCTGGTCATTCAGTAAGTACACGTTTATAAGAAACAAACATTTCTAGAATCGTATGATGCTGTTTTGCATTCCC